GCGGGCGAGCTGCCGTTCCTGGACAAGATGGTCAAGGTGTACAAGCCCGCCGACATGAACACCGCGGTCGAGGACCAGGAGAGCGGCAAAGTGATCAAGCCCGTCATTGCATGGGAGTAGCACTCAGTCGCACTGTTGAGAGTAGTCTCACACTCATTCGAACCACCGTTAGGCAGGAACGAAACAAGCAAACGAGTCTCGCCCTAAAAATAATGAGAAAAATCAATCAAAAAACCACGGCCTGAAAAACACTTGAGAAAGAAAGAGTTTGCATTACGGAGAGCAAAGGAGGTCCCAGCGGAAGGGATGGCGAGAAGACGAAGGGGCATCAAGATCGGGCAGGGACTACGACTGGGGACATGTGCCGTTGCCCTCTAGCAGCGTAGCGTTGAGATCTTTTGCAACAGCCTCGATGGAACTCGAATGGGCGACGTCAAACACCTTGTACGCCGGGCCGGGCTTATCGAAGCAGTAGCGACCGGTGAAAGTGATGAAGGTGGCGGTGTCTTCGCAGATCGACTCGACACGCAGATCCTCAGTATAGCTTCCGAACAGGATCTTCTCATCGGGCGGGTCGTCTGCCACAGCACCGGTGACGTTGATCGGACCGTTGACCAGATGCCATTCGAGCTCGAGCAGCGCCGGCTTGCGGATGTACTTGATCAACTGCTCGTGCAGAATTGTCCCTGCAAAGTCGATCTCGCGCACAGAACCAGGGGTGTTGTCTGGACCTCGTGTGGCGTTGGGTGGCAAACCGATGTACCAGGCTTCGTCAAAGAACGATCCGACCTTTTCATAGAACCGTTTGGCCGGCACATCGTAGCGGGCAGTGTACACCTCAAAGCCAGGCGTGGTGCCTTGGGGACACTTTGGGTCGATCTTGTAGTGGAAGTTGTTGCGTGCGCTCAGCGTCGGAGCAGCAGCACTCAGCAGAGGCATGAAAGCAGCAAGCAAGCCAAACGACCACATCTTGAAGCCAGTTATCCTAGATGGATCGCGGGGTTGTGTCGGATTTGGAAGGGCGGCTGGACCGAGGATTCGGAGCTCATTATATGGAAAGCACAGTCATCTCGCTCGCACCTTGTTCTAGCTATGGATGCGCACAGGGCATCGACGGGAACCAAGCTTGCGACGGTGGAGGCTGCTAGCGCACTCGGCTAACGGCAGCTCACTTTGTTAGAAATGAGACAAAGCTTGGCTTGGACCGATACCGCGGCTGTCAGACACGGCGTCGTTCGGTCACGAGCTTGGTGTTTGTGTTGGATTGCGGTACTGCTTTCCGGCGGTGGAGCGCCAAGACCTTTCTTTGCATCCCAGCTTATCGCCTCGTGAGCCACCAAGAAGCAAGGTGCTGGGGCGCGACGGTGACAGCGACATGTCTCGAGCCTCTGGGCATGGACCGGCAGCAGCTTGGGTCTGCGTCGATCCCATGTGACATTCTGTCCAGGCTGAAATGCCTGGGCGGCGTGGGCGGCGTGGGCGGCAAGTGCGGCAAGCGCGGCAAAAGCGCGTCCCCACCCGCACTCCGCCTCGACCTAGAGAAGGGGGCTAATACTGCTGAGAAAGTGACAGCCAGGTTGGCCCGCTACCGTCAGCCGAGCGTAGCAGCGCATAGCGCGCCTAGAGGGGCAAAACACTAGAATAACAGCTTGATAGTCGCGGCCAGCCCGATAGGCGCGGCAAGCGCGGCCACATTTGGATAGCGAGAGGCTGCGCTGTTCGGCTGCGATTTAGACTGTTGAATGCGCGCGCCGGAAAGGACCCTGGCTAGGCCACGTTTGCCGCGGTTGGCGCGCAGACACTGCCCATGCGCCCTGCATCTCATGCTCGCCTATCTTGAGATCCGCCGGCACCGCTTCCCTCTTTGCCTCTTCGTACCACCCCGCCCCCCCGCGCAACCACACAATGGGGCCGTGTGGCAGTCGCACATGACCCGTCCGCGCATGTTTGGCTGCATTGCTGCATTGCTGCATCGCTGCATCCAGGCCAGACACAAGCGCAACAAGAGCTCAAGTCCGAGACAGACACGTACGCGCTGAATCGTCCGTGTGGCGAGGTAGGCAAGATAACAAGCTTTGGGCGGCAGTAGGCTTGGCCCGAACGGATCTTGAGGCAGAACCAAATCAGCCGGTCCTCGCTTACAGCTTATGCCTCTCTCTCTCCCTCTCTCTTGCCTTCTCGCCGCCTCGCCACTGGTAGCATGTCCAGTCTCTGGGATGCTTTGGCAGTACCCCCTCCCACCGATAGCCAACCCTGCGGCCGCGCATTCATCCCTAATCAATCTCCGCCCCGCAGCGCATGCGTTCCAAACTGTGCGCTCTCCCGCTCTCGATGTGCACCTCCTCCACAGTTGCCGCTTTGCTATCATTTGCGCCCTAGCATTCATCATCCCCGCTCCGCCCCTTGAGCAGCTTCGAGGCCCTCGCGAGTATATATTCGCGGCAACGCCGTCACCAGCCTCGCCGCTCCCTCCTTCGTACCACCCAGCCTGCGTGTATTCGGCCGCCCGCTCTCAGTCTTCCTCTGCGTCCAAGAGCCCAGGCTAGTTTTCCCGCAACCCCTGCCTGGCCCACACCTTTCAACTCTTCGGAACGGACAGCGCTCAGCCCGCCTTGAACCCCTTCCCAGGCCACCATGTCGGACACCTCGGATAAAAAGCCGCAAGAGGCTCACAACCACTCCACCGACGTCGTCAGCTACGGCGAGCACGACTACGATGGCAAGAGCGAGCCGCTCATCCGACAGTTCGGTCTCCTGCCTCTTCTCGGCGTCGGTCTGCTCGGCGCCGGCTACTGGGCTGGCCAAATCGTCACCATGACCACCGTGCTCGGTGTGGGCGGTCCACCCGGTCTCTTCTGGGGCACCTTCCTCTGTGCATTCTGCATCCTCTGCATCGCCCTCTCGCTCGCAGAGCTCGCCTCGGCCTACCCAACCGCCGGCGGCGTCCTCGACTGGGCCTACGAGTCCTCCTCCCAGTCGAGCCGCAAGTTTGTCGCATGGACAACCGCATGGCTCAACACCTTCGCCTGGATCGTCACCGCCACCACATGGGCTTCGCTCGTCGCGCAGCAGGTGCTCGCCCTCGCAGTGCTTTACCACCCGGACTTTGTCATCAAGCAATGGCACACCTGGCTGCTTCTGCAGGTCGTCCTCATCATCGGTCTGCTCGTCAACGTGTTTGCCGTCAAGATCATGCCTGCGCTCGACAAGGTCGGTCTGGTCACCTTCTTCCTCGGCTGCTTTGTGCTCAGCATCACCGTCGCCGCCAGCGCACCCACCCACCAGTCGGCCAAGTTCGTCTTTGTCGACATCATCAACGCGACAGGATGGAAGTCCAACGGTCTCGCCTGGTGCATCGGTCAGGTGGCCACCTCGGGTGCTTTTATCCTCATCGACTCGCCCAGTCATCTCTCCGAGGAGACGATCGAGCCCGAGAAGAACGTGCCCAAGGCCATGGTCTACTCGGTGCTCATCGGCACCGTCACCGGTCTCTTTGTCACGCTCTGCTTTATGTTTTCGATCGTCGACATTGACGGCGTCCTCGGAAGTGCCACGGGCGTGCCTTATATCCAGATCATCAAGAACGCCACACGATCCAACGGCGCCACTGTGGTGCTTTCGCTCTTCATGATCATCCTCTCGCTCTACGGTGCGGTGACCTCGGTCACTGTTGCCAGCCGAGTCGCCTGGGCGTTTGCACGAGACGGTGGTCTGGTGGCGCCTTCGTTCTTCTCGAGGATGTCGAGTTCGCTGCATGTGCCCGTCCAGTCGCTCATCCTGTGCACCTTTGTCTCGAGCTGCATCGGCGTCATCTACCTCGGCAGCATCACCGCCTTCAACTCGTTCCTCTCGGCACTCACCATCCTCTTCTTTGCATGCTACGCCATGGTCATCGGCGCATTCATGCTCAACAACCGCTACATTGAACGCAGCGGTCCTTACCGACTTTCTTCGACTATTGGCTGGGCGGTCAATGCCATCGCCATGGTTTACATGCTCGTGTTTGGCGTCTTCTTCTGCTTCCCCACCGTCTACCCGCCCGAGGCAAACACGATGAACTGGTCCAGCGTCATCCTCGTCGGCGTCTTCCTCATCTCCTCGGTCGGCTACGTCACGTGGGGAAGGAACAGCTACGCTGGTCCCAGCGGCGCTGTTCTCGCCCAGCGCATCGGCAAAGGCACAGCAGCAGCCTAGCCTCGTCACACCCTCTCTGTATTTTTAGCAGCGTCAATAGTAGTCAAGTGTCATCGTCACCTTTTATTGTTGCGCACGTGGGCAAGACGGTCATGAGAAGCAGAATGAATCTGTGAATGAGCCAACATTGGATTGCAGCACGATGCTGGGTGGGGAGCCTCAATCCATGCGGCCCCACCAAGCTCATCGACGCTGCCGGAATGCCTAATTGAAAGAATGCAGCTCGAGAGTGACGCCGGCCAGAGACGGACGCCTGCGCTTGATCGTCTCGAAACTTCTCGCCTGCAAGCGTCGCCCCACCAGCAATGTCCCGTTCTTTGCGCTGCGCAGATAAGCTCCAATGGCTACCGACAAGCTCGGGCGAGACGCTGTCGACACTGATGAGATCATGCGCTGTCAAACGCCACCTTCGCACGCATCCTCATCCGACGGCTGTTGCGTTCTTCATGCCGGTTGCTGCGAAGGAGCTTCTTTGTTCTTAAATTTTGATCATACCGCACCTGACGCGGTTCTTTCTTCATCTGTCTAACCAAGCGGGTCCTGCTCTTGCTCACCAACTCAGCGTTCATATAAGAAAGTCGCTCGTCGTCTTGCTACCCTCCATCCTCATCTTGCTTCACCTCCTCCAACAAGGCCTCTTTTCGGCCGGCTTGGCAGCACATCTTACAAATGCAAGGACTGGGATCGGTGGACGCACTGCTCTCTTCCACAACTAGCGCTGACAATCCATCCTGGCTCTGGTACGTCGACATCGCTGCGGTGCTGACGTGCCTGTTCCTCTTCGTCTCGGCCATCCACGTCAACACATGGGGCGCTTCAACTCTGCCGTGGGCCTTTTTGGCCTCGCTGCTCTTTACGTGTACCTCGGCGGGGTATCGGGGACACCAGCTCGACCTTTCGTCGAGGGGACAGCAGCCACGACCGCCACCACTGCTCTAGACAGTCCGATTGCGATGAGCATGGCGCCATACGTTCCCGACGGCGCCGCCTTGTTCTTTGGAGGCGCAGCAGCCATTGTAATTGTCGTAAACCTCACGTGCAGAGAGCCTACTTTCGTCGCTATTCCGTATCAGCGTGCAATCTGTAGCGCTTCCGCCGCTACGCTCTTACTCGCTGGCACTGCCGCGATCGTTGTGGGACTCGCCAAGGACGGATGAGAATTCCTTCGACCGAGTCGCCTATCCAGCTACCCTTTCCTTCGACGACCAGTGGCGCTAAATCGGGCTCTTAGCAAGGACCGCGCAAGCATGCCTACCGGCGCCTACGATCGCCTCACAAAGCAGAGTCCCCGGCCCACTCGTCCTTCAACGCTACTGTACATCCTTGGTCTCTGTTATTCCCTCCTCTTCGATGTCATTGCTCAACGCCGATGGACTTGCTCGTTCCCGGTCTTTTGCTCTTCTTCCAACTTGCGCCAAAAGCAGCTCCAACCCGCACTATGTTGGCCGGACGCGATCATGTTCCCACCCCTGTCTCCGTCATGCATTTCGTTCACCCTCACATCAATGCTCAATTCTCTTTTGCCAGTTACACATGCATGCATCACGTCCGCGCGGGCAGCTTTGAGATCCCTAGGAGTCGTTACGACGGTGTGTAGGCGGCGGACCGGCTCATATTGCATGCGAAGTAGGGTAGGATGGGTCGTAGTCGCGCAGGAATCCGAACAGGATGTCCGAGTTGGTGGCCGCGTCGGAGCTGCCTGCAAACAGGCCACCCTGACCCGTAGCGCCTGCCGCCTCGAACTGGTCAAACGAGGCAAGGATGCTCTCAAAGTCGATCTCGTACGGTGGCGTGACGCCGAACGTCGAGGGCTGTGCCAGGGCGCTGTTCGCGCGTCCCAGCATTCCTGTTGCTCCAGAGGGCGAATCGACTATTGTGCCCGAGTTCTGTGCCGAGCTGGGGGTGACATCCATCCCACCACCACCACTTCCAAGTAGGGACCCTCCGGCTTCGTGACCGTTGCGACCATTGGCAGCTCCGTTGCCAGAGCCCGAAATGTGCATTGGCGGGCTGTCTCCTTGTCCGACGGGGGAAAGGCCACCTTCTTCATCGGCGGCGTTGAGGAGGTCGAGAATGCCGGCGCGCTCGGCCATATTCCTGATGACGCTTTTTGCCTTGACGACGCCTGGATTGGGGTCCTGATTCTCTTCAAAATCCTGCAGACACTGACGGAGCGCCTTGAGCTCGTACCTGCGGCTCGAAGCAGCCACATCCGCCACATCTCCCGACCCTGCCGTCGGCGCGCGTTGCTGCAGTTGCGCTGCCAATCGAACGTGGATGCCCGCCGCACAAAAGTTGATGTACGAGATGAGCTGCGGTGCGCCCTTCATGCTGACTGTCTGGCGGTAGAGGTTCATAAGACTCGAGATGCTCGAGGCAGCGTCGACGCACGCCTTCCAGGCAGATCGACCGGTAGCCGGATCGTCGCTGCGCAGGTGGCCGTGTGGCAGAAAGGGCCGGTTGAGCAGGATGGTGAGCGCGTGGTAGAGAGCATGGAGCGAGATGAGGTTGGGTGGACGCGTGCGCGAGCGTGGCATCGCGCCTGTACGGCCCAGACTGGGAGAGATCGAGTCGATGCGCAGGTTGACGGGCAGAGCCGAGCGCCACGAAGCAAGCTCTGCGCGCATGCCAATCAAGCGTTCGGTCTGCACACGCTCGGGGCGCGTGCCGCTATCGATCGAGTAGAAGAGGTGGATGATCTTCTCCATGATCACCGTGAGGCGGCAAAGCTCGGCAAAGGTGGATACGCTATAGATGGGTCCAGTATAGCCTGCCGGCGAAGCTGCCGCGGTTCGAGCAGCATCTGGAGCCTCTGCGACATCGTCGCTAGGCCGGTGGTACGCCACGGGCGTCCAGAACTCGGTCTCCTCAAAGTGGTCGTAGAACTCGATGGGGACGTACAGGTTGCGCCTCTCGATCGAAGCTTGGCGACCCTGGTAGAGCGAGTGGATCTTGTCGATCACGTAGGCAGCCCATACGACGCGTCTGCGAAGCTCGAGCTCTTCGAGGGTCATGGTGCCCGACATGACGAGCTCGATGCTGTCCTCGTTCATGCCGAGGTCGATCGCCATGCGAAAGGCAAGACCGGAATGGAGCCAGGCGGCACTCTCGCTGCCGCGTGCGTAGTGGGTGCAGGCGAGGAGGAGGAGTGCCTGTACGGTGGTGATGCGGCTCTTGATGAGCGCCTCGGGCAGGAGCTGCTGGACGCGCTCGAGGAATTGGAGGCCGGCCGTGGAGGGATCGTTGACGTCGGAGCGCACCTGATCGATGCGATCCGAGAACTTGGCGGCGCCAAAGAGGATGGCGTGGAAGAGAAGTTTCGAAAAGTACTTGGCCTTGGCCGGGGGAGCGGCCATGTCGCGCATGAAGAGCGGGCGATAGGTGACGAGGTAGGCGTGATGCTGACGATTCCAGTGGAGGTTGAGCAGGTGGAGAGCGAGCTCTGGCTCGACACCGTCAAAGTCGAGTTTGCCCGAGACGACGTTCATTACCTCTTGCTGACGCTCGTGAGCGGCAAGGGTGGTGAGGCGATCCTTGAGGAGTGCAGGGTTGATCTGCACATGGCAGCCGCGGTTGTCGGCGGAGTTGAAGTCGGCGGCTAGTGGAGTGCTGCGGGCGGGCTCGGGAGCCAGCTGCGGATCGGATGGATGGTGATCGCGGCCGGACTGTTCTGGAGCGCTGAAGGAAGCGCTGGTGGGACCGTGGTAGCGCGATTCACCACGGTTGTTGACGCGCAGGTTGGACATGACCGCACGTGTAGCATGGCTGTGTTGTCGTGGAGGCTGAGACGCTGGACGCGCCCGTGGCTGGATGCTGCGGTCGTGGGCGGTGTGAGGGCCTGCGCTCTTGCTGAGGTCTGCGATGATGGTGGCGACTGCCGACGATGTGGGCGACGTCGGCGAGGGCGACAAGGAGGCGGATGTGCGTGCGCGTGAGCCGTGTGGGGAGCCGATCGTGGAGCCGTGGTCATCCCTCACGGATGGGGCGTGCCTAGAGGGCGTAGCAATAGGTTCCGAGCCGCGGATGTTGCCGGCGCTGCCGACGCTGCGATGCGTCCGGCTATGCGAAGCATGCTGGGAATGCGGCTCTGCGTTGGCGTCGGCGGTACTAAGCCTAGCTCTTCCCGGATTATGCTCGTTCTGGACGTTATCGCTGGTTGGAAGTTGGGTTTGAGCGAGGCTGCTGGGGCTGACCAAGGCGGAAGCGCTGCTGGAACGACGAGCGTGGTGCGGAGAGGACGTGGGGGCATTGCGGGAGGGCTCGTTGTGGATGCTGGCTATGCGCTCTTCCAGCTGACGGATACGATCGTGTGCCTCGTGCAATGCGGGGGAATCCGCACGCGAGCGGCGTGGAGAGCGCGGATGGAAGCGGCAGGTGTCGGCACAATCATGCTGCTGGCACTTGTCACACGGACGCTCACCATTGCAGCGGATCTACGAGGAGATGTGGCAAGTCGTGCGGAGGAGGAGGAGGATGGTGAGCTTGCACGTACCACAAGGACTCGGGGCAGGAAGGAAGGACATCGACGAAGCACAAGACGTACCTTGCGGCGACGGCAAAAGTCGCAAGCGGTCGAGACGGCCGGCTGGCGGCGGTGGGCAGTGCGGGTTTCATCGGCCCTTCTGGTAGCTGGCATGGCGGTGCGCACCAGGCACGACGCCCACGTAGCGCCGACACGTGAACGTAGTGTCAAGCACTATTACGGAGTGGTGCGGATTCGACAAGAGATGGTGGAAGGCGGACGAGGTCCAACGACGACCGACTCGGCCGCTCTGAACGCGGGCGGAGCACGGAGCGGAGGGCGGGGCGGGGCGGAAGGATGGGGAAAGGAAGGAAGGAGGAGGGTGGGGAAATGGAGAATGGCACGGAGGACCGGATGGTAGGCCGGGCGCACAGACGGAGCATAGTGGAGCCGAGGCGATTGGCTGAGCGGACCGGTATTTGTGCCGAGCGACGGAGCGGCGGAGCAACGGAGCAAAAGCAGAGACGGAGCGAACGGAGGACAACGCCGCCGGGGTCCATTTGTGCCAACTGACGGAGCGACGGGGCGTCCAATTGAGCCAGAGCCTGTAGCTGTGCAGAGCCTTCACCTCCTCCTCCTCCTCCGTAACCATGCCCTGCATCGTCATTCCCGCCAGTAGCCCGCCGCCATCAGGCTTTAGCGGACGTCACTCACCGTCGAAACCCCCTCCGGAACCAGCGTCGGATGCTTCCATCTTCGGACCCCGTGCCGGCGGCGGCGGCGCGCCATTGCCGGCGTCGACCGCTGGCGGATGGCACATCCGTTCTGATGTATATATGATGCTGCCGCTCATACTTGAGCTAGTCTCAGCCTCTTCTCGCTATCTCACCAGCTCCAGCACTGCAGACATCCGACATCATGCTTCTCCAACCTTCTCCCTCCAGGCACATCGACGGCTTCCGCCACATCGAGCCCAAGATCCTCTCTTCGGCGCCGTCTACCTCGGTGGCTCCAGCCGCACTCGAGAAGAATGTCGACTCTTCGTCCAAGAGCCAGCCGGCCTACTTTGAGCGTCGCTCCATCCGCACCGTGATCATGCGCGCCGGCACCTCCAAGGGCCTCTTCATCAAGGCGAGCGAGCTGCCTGCCTCGCGCGCCGCATGGCAGCACATCCTCCCCGCCGTCATGGGCTCGCCCGATCCGTTCGGCCGCCAGCTCAACGGCCTCGGCGGCGGCTCGTCCACCACCTCCAAGATCGCCGTCGTCTCCCGAAGCGCCGCTCCCGAGGTGGCTGACGTCGACTACCTCTTCGTTCAGTGCCCCATCGAGGGCGACACGCTCGACTTTACCGGCAACTGCGGCAACATCCTCTCCGGCGTCGCCCCCTTTGCTGTCGAGGAGGGTCTCGTCCCGGCAAGTGTCCTTGCTCCTCTGCGCGCCTTTGCTCAGGCTCAGGGCGCCTCTCGTGAAGAAAAGATGGCGCTCACTCTGCGCTGCCTCAACAACGGCCAGCTCATCCGCTCCACCTTTGCCATGCGCGCCGGCAAGCCGGTCGAGTATGGCGACGTGGTCATCGATGGCGTTGCCGGCACAGGCTCGCCCATCCAGCTCGACTTCCTCGATCCGGCAGGCAGCATGTGCAAGTCGCTCTGCCCCACCAGCAGCCCAGTGGACCAGCTTCAGGTCGAGGGCGAG